GAAAGCTACTGAAGTTGAAAATTAAAGCACTATTTCGACCACTCATCRTGTACACACACACAATAAATAAAAATAAAAAACACACATCTCTGCTCTTCCCATACTAATAGTGGCACAGGGAATTCGTTATTTATCCCCTTACATATCATGTTTAATGCTGTGATTACCCGTTGAGGGAAAACGGCGACGTTATATATTGTATTATAATTTTGTATGATGTRCGTTTACGGCGCCGGAGACGTATGGTGGCTAAATTTCAGTTTGTGAGAGAGGAAAGAGGAGTTTACATAAAATGAATAAATAACACAATAAACCTGTCCACGGAACACTTGAGATGGTGTCAGTTGTAGTTTAAGCACTCGTATTATATCATGTATAATACGTATTCGACTATTTCGGGAACACTGGTCTCAGCCCTACAGCAGATATTAAATTCTTCTTTTATGTATATGAAAAATATCTTTAAATCAAATTCCTTCATTCTTTGCGTGGCAAATACATGTTATACATATTACAAATACTTATACAATTTAATTGATACATGTATATACTACTTATATACAAGACTGAGCAGTTTAAAGATATTTTTTTACTTAGCTAATAGTTGAAAGAAAATATTTTCAGCCTAAAATAATTTAATAATACAATTCTGTCAATTTTTCATATATCATATTATATAATAGTAGTTGAYWATTATTATGTAAATAATAAATATTATTAAGCATATGTCTGCATTATTTACTATAGGTAGGTACTATAGGTATAAACAAGACAATATAAAATATTATCGTTTTAGTATTCAGATGTTCTTCATGTATTTTTTGTTTCCCGCTTTCGCTATAGTGAGTATAGTAGATAATGATAGATTATTTGGAAGAAATTAAATTTATGAGAAGAGTTATTAGACAACAATTTATTATTTTATGTTTTATATAATATGTATTATGTACCTACTATAATAAACTTATATGTTTGATGGGTTAACAATAGCCAAAAATTGACACAATAGTATTTTCAATAAACAATTAGAATAATTGTATGCCATTGCCTATAATCAAACCTATTGCTAAAATATTAAAGAAAAATGAAAAACTGACAAAAGTTTAAATTGTACAAACATTTTCAAGTACAATAATTGTGCAGTCTGTAATTGCGCATGTTCAATTTTAAACGTAAATTCATGAGTCTGATGTTTCTAAACTGCCAAGACCAATTTGTTTGAAAATTATTTATTTATTTTGGAAATAGTTTATATGAATCYCAGCCCAGGTTAAAAAAATAYGATAGTCACCGTACCATTTTGAAGTCCGTATTTCAAAAAAAGGAGCTGCATATGATAATTATCCCACTGAACCCTTAATTTCTTTTTTACCTGGTTGGGCAATGATTTATAAATTTTGAAAACCAATTTGAAAAATATTGGTACCATTTAGAAGTCTCTCTCCATCTTATTATTTTTGTATCAGCTTGGGAAATTATTAGAAAATTCTGAAAATAAATTTACAAATGTTTGCAAATTATTGGGGAATTGGATGGTCATAATAATAAAAAAAAAAAATTGATCGTTTCAAAAAGCCAACTTCAAGTATATTGAAAATTATGCTATTTATGTTCTGACGCAAAACCTATTCACATTGAGTGGATTATCGTGATGTGTTTCATTTTCTTTTTTTACTTTTACCAGGCAGTCCTAAAAATTGTACATTTATAATCTAAATTTTTTCAAACGATTTTTACGTTATGATGACGATTATTGGTATTGATATAGGGCATTAGGAATGGCTAGGAAACAGATATTGGTACGTATGGACTTACAAAATTGGTACTTGGCCTTGGCCCACCCACATTGGCATATCGAATCGAAATCATTATTAATATATGAGAATTCCCGATACAAATCTGAAAATATGGACGGGAACGTCAACGTCGCCGTCGTCAACTTCGTTTATGACCAACTACTACTGTCCTAAAAATGTATTTAAACAATTACCGGTCATTTACGAGCATCCGTTTTCAAAACTTGTAAGTCACAATTTTTCCTAAAAAATTAATTTCCAAATATATAGTGAATATTCAATAATTGTTTATTAATAAACTTTTTTGTCATATTTCGTATAGGTATATTAATTATAGATAGATAGGTACGCGTCATCATTTCGGTGGGCTAAAGTTATTGATTTTGCTGACAGTTTATTTTTGCAAATATAAACATATTCATTTTTCATAACTGACGGATCACGCTGATATTTGTCACGTATACGTACTTTAACCTAGGTACTTGAAAATAAGGTTGAACAAGTTTGAAGCAATAAAACCGGGGAGTGTGCTGGTGAAAAAATTAAAATTCACATAATGCAATATTATTATCAAGTGTATAATTATCATAAGCATCCCTAAGGTGCAACCCTCAAAAAATATCATAATATTAAAAAACTTACTAAATGGAATTTAAATAATTATTTTGAAAATTGTGTAGTAACTAGTAACAGTTTGATTTATTTTTTTAATCAGAAGTATATAATATAATAGTATGGTAATATTATTGACAAAAAGTGTATCTACTTGCTCTAGGCAAAGTTCTGAAGTTATATATGAAGTGCTCAGATTTTATTTTTTATTTTAAAATAAAACATCTGTGTTACAATATTGTAATGAAATACAATATTAGCTGTATACTTATATACATATAGTATATTCATGATGGCTAAGAGGCCAAAGTTGTATGTCAAATTTTTCTCAATATCATTTTATAAGTCTATTGGGTTAATCTGGGTTATCTTTTTTGATTCAGTTGAACATTATAAGTTAATATCGTGATTGAAGTATACTTAATTTATTTTTTTTGTGTTTTTCTTGCATGATAGGTCTTTTTAGTACACTCTTATAACAAGTCCTAAATTAATGTGACATACAGTAAATATTTTATCACGACCTAAATATTATGCGGATAAATATAAATAGCYAGTAGCCTGAACTTGTAATTTTTTTCAAAAATAATTTGTTCAATTTTGGACGTTTAATGTTTTAAACGTTAATCAATTAATGAAAAGTCGATGTTTCTGGAGGAATTAATTTTTCGAAAAACTTTTTTTAATTTATTATATTTTAATCACTTATAAATTATAATACGTCGATAAGTACGTTATATAAATATTATTATCGATACAATTTTAATGTTGTTATAATTTGTGTAAAAATCGTGATTTGTGATATACCTATTGAATTTGTTGTCTTTCCAAGTTTTGTGAGTTTCTTCTCATAATAAAAGATATTACAATTTATTGTTTTAGTTACCTGTAGTAATATTAACATTTTTAACATTTCAACTTTGGTTTAATACCTTCAGCTTAATTTTTTTGTAATATACATTTTTTTATTATTAGTAAAGTATACCTACTTTTTATTTTTATTTTAAATTTGTATTTACTTACAGTATTTTGTTATTGTTTTTATATTTTTATGAGTAAATTATACTTGTTCTTTAACTTTTTATTTGCATTTGTTATTATTACACTTTTTCTGAAGAATGTATAAAATAAAATAATATTCTTTTAAGCTTTGTCAATTACTTATTCAATATACTACTCAATACAAATTACGTACAACACATCAATAACTGTTTTTCGTGGGACAACTTTTCCTCCTCTGTATTTATAGTACAATTACCAAAACTCTACACGCATAGGGAAAAACTGTGTCGTAAGTTCGTAACGTCGTCATTTTTTTGATAACATAAATACAATTAATGTTTGACATATCAAATACTGTAGAATTACAAAAAGTAAAAAAAATAATCACATTAATCACATTAATTCCATCAAAAAYAGTTTTTACTATGTTGAACACGCTTGTAAGATGGAAATAACACATACGGATGTGGTGTTTTGTGGTGTCTTAAATAACGAGATCCCCACGGTTGGATTGTTTTTTCCCCACCTGGTGTACGTAAAGAGGAAAATAAAAATGTTTGCTCTTTGTAAAATTAATGAATAATATTAAAAAATAATAAATTATAAAAGTTCTCAATTTTCATATAAACATTTATAATAAAAATTACATAATTTATTGATAAATGGTATTTGATAATATATCCGTTTAATATTTTTTTATATTATTAGGAAAACAACTATATGTTAGTTACTTGTAAAAAAAAGTGACTCATTATGTAACATAATTAAAAGTAATTTAACTCAAAAATTATAACTCGTTAAAGCCCATAATTGCTAATATGTATCATAACAAATTTAAGGAACTGACAATTAAATTTTTGTTTCAGGAAAAATGTGTGTGGAACATAAAGAATAGACCTTTGGTATTTCTTTTAATATTACTATTGGTCGTCTCGGTAGTTGGAGCGTTATTGTACTTCACCACAGACATATTCAATAAACCTCAAGCAATAAAATACGAACCATTAGAGTTTCAACGACTTATCACCGGTGACTACGAACCTAATCTGTTCAACGGGACATGGGTCCAAGGTGAATACTTATAATTATTTATATGCTATAGATTATAACTTAACTTATATTGATTAAATGTAATGAAAAAATTATAAGTAGGTATAGGTAATMACTGTATWATATTAGGTAGTTATCGTTCGAAATCACTATACCGAAATCCAATAAACGGGAAATTAATTGATCAAAATAAAATACTAATAGGTATCAGATATTTTCTACGAAATATTCTTATAAACATACAAATATATTCAAAATGTATACCGTCATTCCTAAAAGATAAATTTATAATAATTTATAATTTTTTTAAACGTTTTTTCAATACATTCTCTACCAAACAAATTTTCAATATTTCTTACTCATGGGATTGCATAGGTAGGTACTTGTAGTAACAAATATGAAAATGCATACAAATTCGAACTTTAAACTTATAAACCATTACCATACATACGTATACATATGATTATATATAGTGTATATAAAGTCCTACTGATGATTGCGCTCACTCTCTCCCTGCTATCAAATTTTAAAGTACATTTTAGACTTCAGTGTTCAACATTTTATTATATATTGCACTTAATTTATTTCGCTTGGTTTACTTATATAACGAAGTTTCGTTGGTATAAGTCCTGTGGGTTTTTTATTTAAAAATCCTGACCTCTTCGTTGTTCTTRAGCAATAATTGCAAAAAATTGTTTGTATATTATGTGGATACTATAAATTATCATGCATACCTAAGTTTATTAAATAAGAAAAAAATAACAGATAACAAATTTTTACATTATAAGACGATCGTAAATTACACGCACGAATATAATTTGTATTGGACTGACTACAGGTGACGAAATATTAATGAAAGATGACAAAGGAGATATTGTACTGTTCAATGTGAAGAATTTGAACACGATAGTCTTGGCAAATGCTACTGCAAGGGTTAGTATTTTTAAATATTTTTAAATATTTTATAACATATTATTTCAGTTAAAAAAACTATAGTGTAACATGTTAAAATAATCATCCATAAAACCAGGACTCTTTGTAATTGTTTTTTTTTTTAATTATTTTTTTTAGAATGTCGGAAACTGCTTCCAATACGATCTCTCTGCCGACAAGCAATACCTTCTTTTGGCTTATCGCTACAAAAAGGTAGAACTAAATGGCAAATTTGTCCGTTTAACCGTTTTAATGTAAAATATTTAACATTATTATGTGTCTACAGGTTTACAGGCACTCGTTTACAGCTTTCTACGATATTATCGACGTTAATACGGGGTAAGTATCTATTGATTACATAATATTATATTGACATTAATATGTCTTATAATGTCTGGAGATAGAAAAAATTGTGTAATAAAAATAATACAACGTTTTTTGGTGAACTTCCCTTGGTGCTAGAAACTTGAATTTTGAACCGTAACCTTGCAGTCTCATTCAAAATATGAATAATTTAGAAGTTTAAATTCATCCCACTTTATCTCTTTCAATAAGTGTAGTTTATTTTAATTGTTATGTTTTTGTTTAAATGAAAAATATATTGGCCTGCCCTAATAACTAATAGTCTTATATAATATCTTTCCAAAAAGAGGGCCTTTTTTTTATAAAATATATCAATAAAATTGCTTGTTATACACTCAGTATATTATATCAGTACCTATTATCGGTTTAATTAATTATTAGTTATGTAAAAAAAAGAGGTCCCGACTGCCTGGTTCACTAATTTCTGACTCACTATATCTACACATATTTTTATCATAKTTATTATGAGAGTGGTTTCAATCAAACAGGGAGAACAAAATTGGGGACAATGTAAGTTCCTAAACAACCATAGTTTTAAAAACGTTCGCATCAAAGTCAGTTTTATCTTAGCAGGTAAAAATATTTTCACATGCCCAAATGGTATAAACGATATTCGGCCAAAAAGACTACCTACCTACTTATTCATTTTTTGGTCAAAATTATTAACTTCACCCAAACGACTATCACCTAAAAATGGTACTTATCCTAAATYCTGCACGAAGGAAAGTAGATATATTATTATAAATAATTATATTTCATTTTTTAATATAATTATAACATAATAATTCAATATAATATTATACTTAAAAAAATATCATAATATACAATATATTTCGTTTTCATACATTTTAATATTACATTTCATTATCATAAAAAATTCATATTTTATATATATTTTATAATTCAGTATTTTTTTTAAACATTTATATTGTATTTTATATTATAATATTAAAAGTTGTGAAATTTTTTCTGCCATGTAGGAACTTTCATAATATGCATCTTTGTTGTGTAAGAATTTACACATCTCATTTTTATAATCGTATGCCATATTTTTTACTTGTTACTCTCGTGTAGGAGCTTGCAATTCCTCAAAAATTTTTAAATCGATTAAAAAGTTAACCTTACATAATAGACATGACAAAAAGTTATTATAGAGTTATTTTGAAAACAACTATTGATTGATTTCTATATATTTTCTATATTCTACATATTTTTCATTTTTCAATCCATTGCATACCTAATAATAGTTGTGATATTATATTATAGTAATTATTTATTTGTCCAGAGAACAATTCACGTTGCAAAATGGAGACTCAGCAAGTCCGTGGGATTTGCAGTTGGCCAAGTGGTCACCCGTCGGTCACAGTTTGGCGATCGTGGATCATAACAACATATATTACATAAAAGACGTTAATAACCTGACGAGCACCGTACAGTTAACAWTCACAGGTGGCTCGGAATTGTATAATGGCATTCCTGACTGGGTGTACGAGGGTAAGTACATTGTTCCCTTGTATTTTTTATAGTAGGTACGAAATTAATAATACATATTTAGTATCTTGTGAAAATAGATACATTTCTTATGAATCCCTAAAATTTCTTACAAAGCACTGTTTAAACCACGAATGTAAGTATACATAAATATACAGTTAGTATGCCTAACTACTTACATACCTAATTACTTATATTAATTTAATTTTATACATAGGTATAACCTACTATATATTTGAAARGGTTTTTATATCTATATTTTAAACAATAAAAACACTTAGGTTTTTTCTGTATTAAGTAATTATTAATTAAGTTATAATTTTCAATTTGAGATAGGTGCCTACTAACTTAAATTTTAAATTCATCAGTTTTTATATTAAAATAATTTATTTTTAACTTGCTAAATATATACTTTACTATATAGGTATATAACTAACTTGCTCAGATTTGGATTTAAAAATAATATATCTAATAAAGAATTACATTGTTCATACATACCTATTTATCACAGTTTTGAAACTGAAGCGGGTATCAATCACAATTGTAGGTTATCATGTTTTTTTTTTTTTTGATAAATGTTTGATGTGCCCCCATCGCACGCCTGTCATCGAGATATGAGGTCACAATGATAGCTCAACTAYTCCCAAATCCTAGCTAACGTCATGTAGATATTATGCAGATGTAACTAAACTGACGCTAAGGTCTTATCGATTCATCAGTTCTTACAATAGCTAGTTATTGTTGACGGTGGTGTAAAAACTATAGACCAACCTGCAAGTTTATTTAAAAACTATTATTATACTTACTGAGTGATCGCACAAGGGTCATAACCCACAAATTTAACAAAGTCACACATTTTTCAAACCAAAACATGTTTTATTAAAATGCATCCTGTAAAAATATTATAATAATATAATACGTATTATTWCTATTATTAATGATTATTATGTTTGCGACTAATTACATTTGTTATCATTTTTCGTTCACAGAGGAGATATTTAGTTCAAACAGTGCCACGTGGTTTTCGAAGAAAGGGACCAGAGTGGCGTATGCGTCGTTTAACGACTCGTTGGTGCCCATGATGCAAATCCCCGTGTACGGTTTCCCAGGAAACCTGGCTTATCAGTACCCTAGTATTGTCAGTATTCACTACCCAAAGGTGAGCGTCTATTTTTTAATTATGTACWTGCATATTTTTTTCTGCACCATCGTATAATGGTTTCGGTCAAAATAATCTTTTTTGTGCTATTAATAATTCAAATAATCAAATCCAAAATCATTTGCATGTTTCTGAATGTTTTACAGATTAAGTAGAACATAAAATAAATGCATGATATCATTAAATCTTTAGTGAATACAGAATATAACAATCTTTCTCATTTTAATAATATTAAAATTTTTTTTTAAATTTATGATCGGTAAAATTGTAAATTAATGGAACGATTCWTTATTTTAATTGTATTTTACTGTGTCCCACGTAACTAGATTGGCCAAAAATCCCGATTTATACTGGAAATGTATTTATTATTGCCTATTTCAGTTAGGCCTAATAAAAATTTCGAGAGGCTTAAATTGTTCYGTTTTAAAAAAATATGCCTCATTTTCATACTCATAAAAAATAACTAATAAAATATTGCAACCGCTATAATAGATGCAAAAAATGCGTCAGAAACTAAAAAAGTATTTTTTTATTCAATAAAAGATGGTAATTATACGATTAATTATCTTATTAAAAATAAATGTTTTGTTTTGGTAAATATTAAAATAATAACTRGTCTTGTTTTTAGTATTTTATATGTGATTTTCTAAGATGAATCGTTATTATTGTTAGAAATAAAAAAATATAGATTTGCATATTTTTCCTGGCATAAATACATGCCTATTTAATAAATTTTTTGTGCACGCAGTTCACAGCTTTGAATTTATAATTTTGTCATAATATTCGTTTTTCAATTATTAAACACGCTCTGTTTTTTTACCACCAATTTTGAAGGTCGGCGTTCCCAACCCAAAAGTAGAATTGTTYGTACAACGCCTGGATGTAATTGGTGATAAACCTGAACCCATACGCATTGAGCCACCGAAAGAGCTGACGTAAGTATTGAGTCAAAATATAATACGAATATATAATAAGTATAAGTCCAGTGATACCACAAACATACTTTTTACGGAGAAATTTCCCCAAACTATTTTAAGTGATTAGGTAATTACTAATTTTGTAAAAAAATATTTTTATATTTGTTATTATCATTAGGTACCTATTGAATAACTAATATGTTCATAAATATAACTGGTTTACTCTAGGATTCAGCAAATTTAATATGTAACAAAACGTGCTTTATTAAATTGTATCTAGTAAATAATACAGGATGGAYTAGAAAATTAGGTCCATATCTCCAGAACCRCCCAATTAAAAATTTGAACTCAAACCCGGGGCATTCGTTTGTGCTTCGTTTGTGCTTGTTGATGCAGCAAATTTCTTCGTTTGAACTGAATCCCTTACAAGGTTATTTGAGATTAACCCTGGGCGGCGTCAGGGACATGATAATTGCAAACATTGAAATCGAATCCAGACCACAGTYGTTCGTTTGTGCTCGTTTTTGCAGTAAATCCCTTATAAGGTTATTTGAAATTTACCCTTGGTGGTGCCGGGGACATGATAATATTTAATTAATTATTGCTTAATGTCTGCGTTAGACCGAGCTTATGTCAGTAATAGAAATGCAACTTTTGTATTAGGAGCTGTTGTTCAATTGAAGGGACAAGATTTAAATAATATTGTTCTAAATAGAGAATTGATACAAAAAGCTCATCTTCAGCATAGRGAAAACATTGCATCACATATAAAAAGTAAACTTGATCTGTCCATTCATCTAGTTATTCATAGGGATGGGAAAATGTTACCAGAATAACAAAAATGAAACTTGTAGATTGTCTTGCAGTTTTAGTTTCTGTAAATGGTATTTTCAAGATTTTAGGTGTTCCTCCGTTATTAAAAGGTACAGGCAAAAAATTAATTGAGACAGTTTATAATCTTATTAATAACTGAAATTTATCAGATCGTAGAGAATTTATGTGTTTTAACACAACTGCTAGCCATACTGGACTTCTAAGTGGTGTTTGTGTATTACTAAAGGAAAAATTGGGATGACATTTAATAAAATTTGCATATCAGCATCATATTTTTGAAATTGTTATAGGTAAAGTATTTGAGCATTTATTAGGTCCATCAAGTAGACCCGGTATTGCATTATTTACAAAAATTTTAAATTCTTGGCCTAACATAATTTATTCAAGCATTTTAAAATGGTTTAATGAATACAAGTTTTGAAATTCGCGAACTAAAACTTATAAGAACTGATTTAGGTAAATTTATTATTGATCAATTTAAGCTAAAATACTAGTATTATAAGCGTTTTAAGAATTTAGATTGTTATCATATAGGTTAGGTTAAAATATTTTTAGGGAATTTTTATTTTTTTATGCCATAAATGTACTTTTTAATGAATTTTTAGGGTATCAACAATTCAACATACGGTCTTTAATACCACTATAATACATAAGAATCAYAGAAAAACTTTCTGTAAGCTTGTATATATATATAATTAGAAATTTATAAAAATTCATATTTACTTAAACAATAAACTAAAAAATTAAATTATTTTATTCTATGAAGATACTACAAATTTTATTGAAAACTACTACTACTACTATTATTATTATTATTATTATTATTATTATTATTATAAGTATATAAGATATAGCATTATTAAACATAAAATATTCATATAAACGGTGATAAATGATAGTTTTAAATTGTCTCAACGGGTTACAAAATATTGAATAACTAAAAAAATTATGTGTTGCACTACCACCCCTAATCATCCAAGATATCATTTTTAAGATCAAAATGCTCCGAATAATATTCTGCTTTAGGATATGAAATTTAAAATGTATGTTGACATTAAAAACAGAAAAATGAAATGAAAAACAGTAAGATACATAGTTTTATCCAAATATTTTTTGTTTTGTAAATTATTTTAATGATTTAAAATTATGTAAAACAAACATTTTTAAAAACATTAATAATACGTTACAAGATGAATACAATTTGGAAAACTATTGAGCATATGATATAACCAATTATGTTTAAAAGAAAAAATGAATTCAAACATTTTTTTCATAACTTCATCGAAATCTTTTAACAAAAAAATTCAAATCATTTATATTTTTCCACTTATTATAATTAAATAGACACGGATTACAAAGTATACTTTATAGTAGATATACCTTCTGTCTGCAAATTATAAGTTATATATATAGTATAAGTAATAATATTATTATGTTGTATATTAAGGTCTTTAAAGTTTTTAGAAATGGGCTTACAAGTAACTAGCTAAAAATAGTTTACAACACTCATTTCTACAATTTTTTTTTTTAATAGAGTTTTCTTGTTTCCGTTTTTTACAGGTGACTGAGTAATAATATTAATGAAACAGATTTTCCGCATTTAAATTTTCTGTGWTTCTATAAAATGTTGAAATTAGATATACCTACTTTATATTATTAAAATTTCCACYTTAAAATACTTTTCCACTATTCTACTGCCCGACGCCTATTTAAATGGGAGAGGGAATGTTTGAATATTAACAAAATTGACTTCTCAGAAAAATCTCATCTTTTAGAATCGTMAAATTTTGATAACTGTATTTTTTTTCATCTGAAAGAGACTTTCTGGAGCCCGCTGAGATCTCCGATTTTATTTGTTTTCAAATAACAGTGTGTAAAATTAATCGTAAGATAAAAGCTTAAAATCGTATTTATTTTAAATACATGCTTATTACTATACATTTTGATGTTAAATAAATTCAGCTACTATTCAGGCTGTAGAATATTTTCCTTATGTTAATTAAAATAAGTAATAATACAATTTTCTAATTCTTCAAAAAGGCTGGATTATTATAATTCTTGTAGTGGAGTGTATGTTTGAGGATGAAATAACATTAGCACTGAAAGTATTAATATAATAATAATATCGTAATGGTAGTCCGCTGGCAGTAAGTGATATTTTTTTCTTTCCRACAGTTGAAATTATACCTACACTTAAATATATTATCCTGTCATGCGCGCGATGATATGATTGTAATAAATTGGCGTATACAAAGTGGTAAATGAGCACGCACACAACCGAATATAGTTACCTAAAGTATAGACTTGATAATTTATATACATATGCTTTCGTAAAGGTATATATGTAAATTAATACGAGTATTAATCAGACGGCGTATTTAAACAATCGTAAACCTAATTATTTTAGGTACAAGCTTTTTAAAAGTATATATATAAAGGRTGTAACAGAAAGACTTAAGAAATGAAAAATTAAATCTACTAGTTAATAGTATGAAAAAATATGGAAATTCATCTTCAAATGGATAGTAAATAAMATGTGATTTACTATTGTGTCTGAAAATTTCCAAAAAAAAAATATTTAAAAAAAWTTTTTTATTACATTTCGAATTATTTTATGGAAGTACTCCAAACGATATTGTACGTAGTATAGCGCAAAGTTCTATAGTTCTATACATTATACCAGACAATTATTTTGAACTTTTGAAGTATAAATCAAAACAAAGATATTGATTTCATTTATCAGGTCCTGTTACACCTCATATACAGAGTAATTCATCAAACATGCTCACCTCACTTTTGGAAAATTTAAATATAGATAAAGATCGTTGATCAWATTCTTAAATTTTTTTTGTATTAATTACTATGATTATGATGAAGTGGCATATTGAAGCTTGTGTTTTGCAAATAAATCACCTTACCACCATTATACTAWAAATATTATTTAGTGGATTATATTTCTGTTTGTGTTTACGTATTGAAAAATCTAAATATGCAGTTTTTTAGTTTATGATTCAACTTCGTGTACTAATAGGATAATGGGTGCACGAATATATGCGAAAAATATTTAAGCGATTTGAAAATTTTAGTAAATAACACTATCAATTATTTATTGTTTCGACATTTATCATTTTAAAAAAGGTGCCAGAATAATAATTATAATGCTAGATCCAAAAATTACATAATTTATTTTTGTAAAACAATTTTAAAGACTAAAATTTATATTTATAGTATAAATATTTTAGTAACTAAGGAACTACTYGTTCAATTTTTGAATTAGGTAACTACGTCAACATTTTCAGAAAAAATATCCAATAAATAATTTACAGTAGAAAAACAGAAATTAGCAGCTACACAGGATATATTATTACTCCTTAGTAGTACCTAGGGAAAACCATCTTAAAAATAGTATTGTCTTAAAGTATATTTAATTTAAGGAAACATTGAGGTGAGCGCACTTGGTGAATCACCCTGTGTATATGTGTGCCTATATGAACGTAAAAGACGCCTAATGAAAACAGAACTAGATTGCGTCTAATTCTTATATGGACGTGTGATGTGTGAATTTACATATTTTGCAACRCACACAAATATAAATTAATCGCTTTGATAAGAAATGTGTTTTAGGTGAATCGTCAGTGCAAAATAATATCTTGTTTGACATATTTTACCAAGGTACGAATAATTCGTTTCCTATTCTCGATTCAGTTCCCGGCGACGACTACGTCTTAAGTGGTTATACACCCAAATAAAATCGTAGGTACCTACATAATTAGCATGATACAATTTATTATCAACTGTGAAACAGCTGAAAATTTTTATAACTTTATAAAACGCAGCTGCAGTACTACCAAGGCAGATAATTTACTATTCTTTTATATCATTTTGATTGAGATCAACAACTTAGGAGTAAGAATATAATATTTTGTTTCCTCTGAAGATCGAATCATTTAAAACAAATTTTATTTTTATTTTCGTTTTTCAAGTAATAAATATCATTAAATATTTTTAAATTATTTTTGTAATCAATATTAGTAATGAACTTAAAGGTAAAATATAATTAATAATAACTTTTGAATTGAAAATACAAAATCATCTAAAAAAATGTGTGTTACACATTGATTTTTTAAATAATTTAAAAAATAATTAATACCAAATTATACTATTTTCATAAGAGCTTGTCATTGGCAAGTTGAATATATGAATAATCTGCAGGAGAATTGTATTTGTGAAAACTTTAATGTGAAAAAATGCCATTTCATTAAACAGTTCAATTTAAAACACGTGTGTAATTATAACTATATGTCTATATGGCCATCTTRGTAATTTATTAATGTAGGTACAATAATAAATTCTAACTAAGGGGAGGAGGAGCGTTATAATAAGAATGTTTTACTGCACCTTATATTATACTATCGCAGCTAGTCGAACAGCTGCTGTCTCGTCTGTCATTGGACATTTCAATTTTTTTATTTTATAAATATCAATATTATGTGGATTACCAAATTATTATTATGTATAGCTCCTACTTAATAATTGGTTTTCGAATCTTTAAAGTTCGAAATACTGTTCAGATAATTAATTTATGAGGGAAAGAAAATAACAATTTATATTATTAAATAAATCATTTGGTAAATTGTATTCTATGTTTGAATTTCAGATCAGTCACTAGAAATATCATTCTAAATACGGTGGTATGGTCAGATGATACAAACTTATTTGCTATGTGGATGAACCGTATACAGAACAAGTCATAYTTAGTTCACTATTCTGTGGTCGATTMTGCAGAAAGTATTAACGTAAGTTTCATAAAATAATATATAAATGGTATTTAACTTAATATGTATTTTTGAAAATATTCGTACAATAAAATAAAATAAGGTTAATAGAATTTTAATAAGTAATTTATTATCCTAATAATAATGTATACAAATAAAACAYAAGATAAACATTTTAAAGAAATTATCATAAAAGTATTCTAATTAAAAATACCACAAAAATAATTAATCCAATGTTATTTAAACATAATAATATACAATTTATCTGTGGGAAATATCAATAAATACGTGAATGAACATATGTACACAGAGTCACAGAACCTTAATATTGTCAAACTAAAACAATTTAATTATCATTACTTTTGTTTTTATCAAAAGAGTATACCTAATGAATATAGCGTTTTTTTTTGTGATAATGTGCACAAGAGAGTACCTATAAGATTATATTATATTATCATACAAATGTAAAACATTATAATATATGTGTATAGTAGTGTATACGTATTGACTAATTAAGTTAAGACCTTAAATTAGAATATAAATAGTTGATTATATTATAATCATTTATTAACTAGGGTATTTCGCAAATTACACAATATATGTTTAGCAGGTCTACAACTACAGACTGCAGTATGGGTAAATACTCAAGSAAAAATTATATTTTATTATTGAACACATTTTTAAAATAAGAAAACATATTTTTTATGTTATACGAGTACATGTTATATTTATTATATACTGATAAACAAAAATATTTGAATGGCAGAAAGACGTAGTAATAATAACGTAAGATACCTACATATTATATAAATATTATTTATCATAACACGTCATTATTTAAAAACATTTAAGTATTTTATTCCTGATACATTTAAAAATTATTTTGCTCACGGTTAATATAGCTTAAAATTAGTCTAAATAGTTCGAAAATATTTTATTGTTATAGAAAATAAATTTGGTACAATATGCTTATATATACCTAATGATATTATAAACGTTATAAATAAAATAGTCATAGGTATAATAAATCTAATATAACCATAATACTTGACCTCATATATATATATAAAAAAAAATTAAAAAATGAAATAAATACAATTATTATTATAGTTACTAATTAAGGCAGTATTGGTAAACAAACATTTAATACAATATGACATGTATTTATCTCAAACTAGTACTGTCTTAAGTTTATGAAAACGAATTAAATTTAAGTGTTGAACCATTCCAATAAATGAATTCAGTGACTCGGCGGCATTATTATATTTTATTGCTATGTACTTCAAAATAATTATAGTATGTTTACTAACCCCTTGGCATAATTTTTAAACACGAACGTGTGATTATCTCTCCTTACAGGTAGTGACTTTTGCTCAACCTGGGGGATGGTCGGACTTCACACAAATACCATTGGTTGGTGACGGACACCGTCTGGCTATAATTTTTCCCACGAGACAATTAAACGGAGATGATTTCAGGCACTTGGTCGTGGTGGAACCCGATGGAAAACTCACTCCAATAACAAGTGGCAAGTTCGAAGTTCTCGAACTGCTCAAATGGGATGTCCAGTCAAATTACATGTAAATAAACTTCGATTTTATAGCAATGGTTCCAGATTATTGTGTTAATTAGTGGATGGATTTTTAAATSTACTTTTCGAAATGTTTGATTCAAAAACAAAAAACCACACAATAATTGTTACTGTAGCCATTTTTTTATTAATATTTTTATTTAACTAAGCTTAGCAAGAAAAATAAATATTAAATTAATTGCAATATTGTCGAGTTAAATTAGGCCATAAATTTAGTTGTAATTGCACCTCCTCCTCAAATAAAAAACATAAATATGCAGCACATGGTCAATTGAACACAACCCATTACATTGCCATACACAATAATTTCTATATAATCAATGTACAGTGGTTAACCCATACCTTAAAATATCGAAATACCTTATATATCGTAAATAATTGTTTCATAAGTATTTTTTATAGAAATTTAAAAATTAAAAATTAATTTCAACGGGCCYATAAAATATCTGGAGCACTGTACCTACTCCAGTTTAAATCAGTCTTGTGGAGATTTTGCGGCTATAATTATGTTTTATGTAGATGGTTCTATTCTTGTTAGCATAAATTTGAGTTTTTATATATTAGATTTGATAATAATACTATATTAGGTGCCTAGGCAACAAAGAGTTTATCAGTAATAATTATTAATAACCTTTTTTTTATTATTATTGTTATTATTAATATTAAGCCCGGTAAATATAGCCATTACGTGTTTGTAGGGAAAATGATTGGTCTACAATACGTATTATATATGCGCAAGTATTTTGTTGCTATAAATTCTGGATGGTAGTTAGCAACGCTGGCCGGTGCGTACACTCAAACCGCGTACGAAACTGAGTGTAGACACCGGTAACAGTGGTAACACCAATCCACAGTAAAAACAATTATAATACATTTTGGTTTTGTCTATTATTATAGTTACTATTTGGCCAACACGGAAGAAAATCCCGAAGAAAAGTACCTGTATAGGGTGTTGGTTAAAGAACAAAATTCACCAGAATGTATATTATGCCAGACGGAATGTAAAAATCACAAAGCGGAGATGAGTGCGGAAAACGATTATTATGCACTCATATGCTCTGGTCCAAACATACCAGAAGTCAAAATATTCAAAACGGTATATAAACCCAATAGTGATACACTAATATTTCGTGGTAATATATCAAATCAGATGTAGCATTTTATATCTTATAATACCACGGTAGTAATAATTAAGACTATGATGATTTGAATGCAAAATTTAATATGTTTTGAGAATTCCAGTCAATGGTAATTCTCGTAATAATTCATTTACGTTCAAAAGAGGATTGAAAACTATATTTATACCTATAACTATAACTATGCATTCTATGAATTTTTAAATTAAACATAATTGATATTCAAAATATTAACTCGAGGACATATTTTACCATATTTTATTTTATAGTTATATAACTATATTACAATTGTTATTAATTATCGGCTTGGATTTGTAGGTATGCATTTGAATATTTTAAATAATTGATTTTACTGACTGTTAAAACGTAAGCACAAAATATGTTTCATAAAAGTGTGATAAAAAATACGAATTGTTTAGAGAGCATATTTTACAGTAATATTTGGTATTTTGTGCTGTTTTTAACTTAAAAGAAAACAACGTACCTACTAAATATGAATAAGAATTTATTCAAAGACTGCCAGTTTATTRCAATGTTTGTATTATTATATTTTTTTAAATTGTTATCTTGCGTCCTTGCAATATAAATTATAATCAATGAATAATTAAATATTGTTGTAACCCATTTCATATAAATTTAAAATCAAAATCATATTTTTTTCTTTTTTAGAACATAGTTCTTTGTGCATGTTTTATTGCGTATTTGGTGATTAAACGTATATTTTTAAGAACATAATATTTCATAATTTTTAATAAATATAAATCCGAGCCTTAGTAATAACTAATATGTCATAATGCCAATAACAATGACTAAAATATTATCACATGTTAATTATTATTATACGATTTACGTACCTAGGTACGTGTTTTTTTCATATGCTGTAGGTAGTACGGTTATAATTGGACATTGCTYAACAACTACTCAAGTATGAGGGGTGGTGGTCCATTTCTGAAAAAAAATATAAATTGTGTGGGCACTTGTAAATTTATTACAACAACGATTTGTATTTTGTATTTTATAGTATGCATATAAACATATTTCATGTATTTGTTTAATTAAAATGAATACCTATATAAAAGTACTGTTAAATCATTGATGTATCAATTTTATAAATTTTTACTTTTAAAACACTTCCCATTAATAAATCCTTTTCCCGGGCCTGACATAACTAGGTTTATAAAACATGATGGATAATGACGATTTAGCTATTAATATGAAATAATGAACAATT